AGAGGAAGGCAACGAGGAGGCACCGCCGCCAGTAGCTCCCAGACAGTGATTCCGCGCGTAACATAATATGTAACCGGTGAGCGAACTTGCACGCACCCGTGTGTTATGTCATCGATGACAATTCTCCAAAACGCGAAATCGAACAAGACCGGGGGTGGGCGGAATCGAAAATAAGTGACAAGAGCGAGAGTGTTCGTTGTTGTGCACGGCAGCGAGTTCACTCCGAGGGTGGGATTGCGAACGTTGCCGCGGTTCGTCGCGAGTATTTTTGTGTGTTACTGATTTTTTCCGTGTAATATTTAAATTTTGTTTCTTTGTGTGTATCGTTCTCTTATACGTTTATTTACGCATATAGGTAAAACTCCATGCTGTAAAGCGAAAGAACACAAGAAGAAGAACTTGCGAAAGAACTCGTCGTCGGCGACGGCCTTGATCGGACGAGCGCGAGATACTCTCAGCGCTACCAGTGGTCGCAAGCTCGAGCTAGTCGAGGATGCCGCAAGCTCGACGCGAATCGACGCGCCGCGGCGACGAGTCCCGATGAAAATCGACGCTCGTGGTCGTCGTGCACCGGCGTGCGCCGCGCTGCAGCAGCGTGTTGTCACGGTTCGATAGCTGGATGAACGCCGGCGACCTCGGCGTCAGCAACGTTGACTCGGCGCGACCGAGTCTGGGATCGTGCGAGCGAACGAGCGAGCGAGCGAGCGAGCGAACGAACGAACGAACGAACGAACGAACGTACGAACGAACGAACGAACGAACGACCGACCGAACGAACGAGCGGTGGATGTCGACGAACTCGGCAGCGAGGTACTCGGCCGCGGCCCGCAGTGACGGGACGATAACGAAAGGCGGTGATTACAATTGTGCGACAGAACGCCGTGGTGGTCCCCCCGAATGAAACACGGAAGCTCCGGGGTCGACAATGGCGAGATGGCCTTGAGATCGATCGCGCGTTAAGTTCGGTGAACGACCAGCAACCGGGGGAGTTCGGCTTGGCGCGAATCGAGTGTCCGCGCGCGCTACGTACAAGTATAGTGACTTCTCGTGGCGCTACCGGGTGTCTACGATGCACGGAGCGGTACCCGGGTCCACGACGCGTCGCGACAACGTCAAAGAGGTACGCCGCTGGCACGTACGGAATCGCGAACAAAAACATGTGAATCACGAGACTAAATCGCAAACGTAGACGAAGCTGCGCGTGTTTGATAAAATACTGTATATCGCGTTACGCGGTGGTTGCAATAATTCGGAAGTCGTATAATTCGTCGATCAATCGTCAACAACTCGAAAGACCGGAAGCGATCCCGTCGAACGTGAGGGACAGGAGTAATCACCGTTCGTTGAATGGAGTGATGAGCGGGGCCCCTGCGCGGGGCACAGTGCCCCGTCGTCAAAGACGCCATCATCATCATCATCATCATCATCACCACAACCATCATCATCATTTGAAACGTCAGAAGCGCGTACACGAAGAGACGCCACGGGATTCGACGCTTGACGAATCGGAAGAGAAACGGCCGAAGGTCAACCCGATCTTCCTGTGGGCGTCGCAGCGCGAGCAGAGGATCATCGAGGTGAGATGCGAGGACTACGATAAGCGAAATCGCATTAAGCTGACCAAGACCGCGCAAGGATGGCGCTCGATACCACGCACCACGTCCAATGTGTACACGATCGCCTGCGAGAAGACGTCGAGCCTGGCCGAGTCGGCCTCGCCGACCCCGTCGGTTTCGTCAAACGACGAAAAGGAGAATGGCGAGCGACATCAGGAGATCGCGACGCCGAACGTCACGGTGAATTCCCTTCGACGCAATCTGCGAAAATATACGGCGAACGGCGCGACGAACGGTTTGCTTACTGGCGACGACGCAGGCAAAAAGAGACGTTACAATAAAGAGACGAAGGACATCCGACGTGGATATTCCTATCCTCTGGGAGCTCGTGACGACTCCAACTGGAACTCGGACGATCAGGCCTGTCCTTCCGACGGTAATAACGATAACGAGGACGAGCGGCGGAAAGACGGCGATAAAGACAGCGAGCAGAAAAACATGGAGATTCGTCAGTCCAGCCTGAAGATCAAAATCAGGCTGAACGGTCGGAGCAATCTCGAGAGACTGCAGAAGGACAAGCTGTTTCAGCCCCGCGTTGTGCTGGAACAACTGCATCTCTCGCAATTTCCTGGGAGCATGCATCAAAATATTATTCGCCGCATGAGAAATAAAGATGCGGCGATGAAAGAGACGGAACGGGTAGAGAGAGATGACGAGCGACACGAAGAAGAAGACGCCGTCGACGAGCCCGAGGAGAACGAAGAGGAAGAAGAGGTAGAGGAGGAGGTGGAGGAAGAGGAAGAGGAGGAAGACGAGGAGGAAGACGAGGAGGAAGACGAGGAGGAGGACGAGGAGGAGGACGAGGAGGAAGAGGAGGAGGAGGAGGAGGAGGAGGAAGAGCAAGAGAGCGAGAAACCTACTTGCCGGGTGAACAAGGCGGGCATTCAGGATATATTGAACATGATAGATGCCACGGCCTCGCCCGTTCTCGCCACCGACACTCCCAACGCTGATCTGCCGGTCGATTCCACCAAGACGTACGAGATTCTTGACGAAAAACAATTCGTCGAGAAAAACATCGTCGAAGACGTGGAAAGAATCGACGACGCGAAGGATCAATTGAGGAGCGAGTCGGTCTGTAGTTACCAGACCGAAACCGTCGATCGAGACGGCGAGATCGACGACAAGCTCGAGGTGCACGAGGAAAAAATCTTGGAAGAAAATTGTATGGGCGACATTCAGGAAGATAGAAATGTCGACGAGCAGAACAAACTCATGATGCTCTCGCTGAAAAATAATTCCGAGATGACGTTGGAATCGTGCAAGATTGCCGAGGCCGATGGCGGCTTCGTCAATCTACCGAGAACCAAATCAAACTCTCTGGTTACCTTCCAAACCCCGTTGGAGGTCGAAGAGGAAGTTGAGGAAGAGGAAGCCGAAGAAGAAGCCGAAGACGAGATCGAGGAAGAAGCGCGGAACGAGCCCGTGATCAAGGTCGATTACAAAGTCGACAGTTCGAAGATCCTCGACGCCCTGAGAAACACGCCGGGGCTCTCGGTGTCCGTGACGAGAACTCACACGCCGGAGCACAACAAGTCCCAAATCGTATTGCCCAGACCGCTCTCGAAAGCGTCCTCGTCGAGCAGATCGCCGGACTCGCAGGCGGAATGCGTGGAGAAGCTGCTGAAGAACAACAACGAATTCGTCGACAATCGCGGACGCACAAATTCGCCACGCAGCCTGCCGGGTCTGTCGATCATTATACCGAGCTTCCGCTACAGAAGTACCTCCGGCCAGCTGACGACGACCTCGCCGACGAACGCGAAGCGTCGCGTCGAGTCGCCCGAGAGCACCGTCAGCTTTCACAAGGCCGACACGTATCCGGAGGAGATCAAGCTCGTCAAGTATCCGCACGAGGACGACAAGATGAGAGAAGAAGACGAGGACGACTGCGACTCGCAGGTGCTGGAGGATCTCAGACAGAAGAGAACGGACTCGCCGATTTACGACAGCATGGACGTGGAATATTACAACAAATCCACAACGGGTCCCGGGGGCAACCGAGAAGATAACAAAACGTCGGCGGAGAACGCGAAGACCGATTCCCTGTGGACCGGCAGGAATAGCGAGGCGCAAGCCAAGTGTAAATATCAGCATTTCGACGAGCAGATCCTGGAGGAGCTGCGATCACGCGGCACCGTGGTCTCGCCCCAGCCCAGCGGGATCCCGTGTTCCCCCGCCTCCAGGAGACCGTCGTCGACGTATCTCGAGAGGCTGCTCCCGAGCCCGCCGTGTTCCGTGTCCTGCTCGGAGGACACGAACGAGCTGACGCTGAGAAGCATTCTGGCATCGTCCGGCAACGTGGAGACGCAGGACCACGAGAAATCCAAAGAGGGAGCGGCGATTCGATCCGATCCGGGTATCGATCCGCGCGCGATATATCCGAGCGTCGATAGAAACGCGAGGAATCCCAACAGTCAGCGGAACTTCCAGGAGCGCCTGAGTGTACACAATCAGGAAGTGAGAAACTCCGGCAGACCGATGTCCAGCGGCGACATTCACAGCACCTTCTACACAATGGCGGATCGCGTCGCGCCCAAGCGACCGATGTCCGCCGAGTGGCAGTCGACCGGACGTCAGAGAAATCAAATCAATTATTACCAGAAAGTTGTCGGCAGAACGAAACATTACCACGCCGATAACAATCACGATCAAGACCAGGTTACGTTCGCCGCGTCGAGCAGCACGGAGAAACTCCTGGATCCGGCGAGTCAGCTTCGCGAGTTGGTCGAGACGGTCGGCCATCTAATTCCCGATCCACTTCTGGTTCCTCGCAGTTATCTGCCGGCACTGGCCGCGGCGCCGGCAATCGAAATTCCCAAGCTGTTGGTCAGCAGACCCGAGCTGAGACTGCCCGAAGCCCTCAACAGGCCCGAGCTGCTGCAGGATCCCGATCTGCTTGTGATATCGCTCGCGCATCTGCAGCACGTGCTGGATCACGGCGAGGGTCCGGTCTCCAGGTCGCACGTACCGGTACAGCAACAGCCGAGGGCTGTCGTCGTTAACGGCAACAAAGGACCGTCCGGTCACGCGAACAACAACGTGAGATACGGCACCACCACCGTCGCGAACGGCAGACCGAAGCTCAGCTGCAAACCGATCGGCATGCTGATGCCGACGCAGCCGATAGATCTGTCGAACGGCGGACGATCGTCACGATTCAACCCCTATCCACCTCTGCTGAGGGTGCGCAGTGGTTTGCTCAAACAGGAGCCGGAAGTGAGCTCCACCGCGAGCTCACCGGACGAGTCACATCTATGGCATCCATTATTCGGAAGGTAAATGTAATTACAACAATTTCTTGCCGATCATTTTCGTTCGATTTTCTCCGTCAGTTTTTTTTTTTTTTTTTTTTTTTTTTTTTTTTTTTTTTTTTTTTTTTTTTTGAAGGTTTTCTTGGTTTTCTACGCGTAACAATTTCAAAACAAATGAAAAAATAACAACGTCCATCCGAGACGTAAACACGTAAAGAAATTGCAAAAACATTAAGCTGCTTGAGAAAAATTCAATTTAACTTTGAATTGATTTCGTAGAAGAGAGAATGTGTGTTCGAATTGACGCAATTTGTCGGCGAATTGAGTTTACGTGGCATTTGAGATAAACAACAACTCAATTAGATGAGAATTTAATGTTTCGTTGTTGTAGGCGTTCCGCCTTCCTCGTAAAATCCGGGAGAACGGCGCGCGTTTGCTAATTGCTCCGAATTAAACGCAACTTTAATATTTTCGAAGCAGATAAATACAATTAGCAAAGAAAACGCTCGCGAATTTAACACAAACAACAATTTTTCTCGTACGCGTCGCATCAACCGGACATATTGAAATGGACGGGATAATAAAGCGCTCGCGAACGCGCGTCGAAACGGACATATTGCTCACAAGACGGACATAACGACAATTTATTATCAAAGCTCTCTCTCTCTCTCTCTCTCGTTCAATATTAGCCGCTTTAAATAAACAAATTGTACAAACCGCTCTCTCTCGTATACATTTAATAGAATATATTAAGCTTGTCTAGAACGTTAATACGTCCGATGAAACTCGGCGGTGCGAGCAACACGTCGGATATATTTAGAGCGAAAGAGGTGAACGGGAGGAAATAAAAAAAAAAAAAAAAAAAAAAAAAAACACGAACAAAGAGTGGCATCGATGTTTCACTTACTCGCACGTAAATAGGTCGGTACCTAATAACGATCATGAGCAACCAAGTGCACGAAAACAATATCGCCAACCCTCGCGCGCACGCAGCAGTCACGAAGGTGTCCGGTAAAGCGACACGCGCGCGCGCGCGCGCTCGCGACGCCGACGACGACGACGACGACGACGACGATGACGACGCTAAAAAAAACGAATATATGCCCAAGTGGCGCGTAGCATTTATTTAAACAGACGCGCGCGGACAGGAAGTACATTTTGATCCCTTTCGTGTCTGCTATTAACACGGCGACGATGTGCTTCGGGACGCATGCAAATGCAGCACCTCTCTCTTTTATATTTATTCCTCACACATTCCGCGCAACACAAACGCGCGCGCGTGCTTCGTCCTTGCCGTAGAATAATTAAATTTTCTACCATTTATATTATGTTTTATATATGTACGTTGACCTGTCTCTTTTCGCGTTTGACTCTCTCTTTCTCTCTCTCTCTCTCTCTCTCTCTCTAGTGAGAGATTGGTCATGTCACGACGCTTTATGTATGCGAATCGCAAACAAAGAGAGACGCGATTTCGTTTGACAGTTCGAATCGACGACCCGCGACGGTGACACACGGCGACTGTGCCGTCAGTCAGACGCGAAGGGGATTCATTTGCATCTTAATAACCGACGTGCCGGCTGTACGTTCTCGCGCGGGCGCGCGCGCGCGAGAGAGAGAGAGAGAGCTTGTCACTCGGTTTATAACGAGCTGATCGTCGCACACGTATATACATCGGCATCACTAAATATTTAAATTAGATCGAACGACGTGAGACGGTAGGCGCCTTAGGTTCGCCCTCCTACGTCGATGGCGGCATAGGTCGCGGACGAGGCGTAAACCCGCCTCGCGCTTCCTCCGCGAGGTGTCGAGAGGATTGATGACCGTCGTTAGGCGTAATTGGAACAAAACAAATAGCTGTAAAAAGAATCCGCGGTTACTATGGAAATATTTCAAAATCAATTCCGACCCCCCGGATAGACACCTCGTATTTTATCGTTTCTCTTTCGTATGTATCAGGAGCGATTGATAAGTATCCGAAATAACGTGTTAGAGCGATATCACATTTTGCTGTTGTCGCGTTGACAAGTTTTTCATCTTTCGGAAGAACAAATGTCAAACTCTGACTCGTTATCGCACGTAGGACGACAGTTTCGCCAAAGTAAGTCTATCTAAGTGAGTTTTGACAATGTTCGGACCCTTTGACTATTGTCAAAATTCATGAGCTATAGGCATTTCGACTGTTGTTAAAATTCATGAGTTGGGCTTCACGAATTGTTGCCCGATCCGCCTGATTTTCGTCAGATACGGTGCACCGATTGCGCGATTTCCATTTATTTATAAATCTGTAGAAAATTTCAAGCAACAATAGAAGTCGCCATGAACAGTTGCACTTTGCCCGATTGTCACGTGAACACTACCTACGTGCGATAACGAGCCAGCGTTCGCAGTTCGGAAGTTTTATTACGCGTCATTTCGGATACTTATCGCTTCGCAAGAACGTTAGAACAAAGGAGACGGAAATATACGGTGTCGTTCCGCGCGATCGAAATCGATTTCCGAACGGTTCCATAAGAAATATCCAGAATAACTGTTATCGAATTATTTTAGAATTGATTCCGTTCCCGGAGAATGACACAGTTTTTCTGTCACTTTTATTTCTTTTAATGTGCATTAATGTCATTCGGCTCGCGCGATCAAAACGAATTGATTCCGAACAGTTTTTCAACACGTATCCGAGATAGTCATCGAGCGAAAATCGAATTTCCTAAATCATATTACGAAAGTTTTTTTTTCGACACGAGAGTGACACATCGTTATAACTCGTTTTCAATACACAACTTTCGTATTCCGCCCATATCGATCCGCGATGTTTTACGTTCCTCTGTTTCGTCGTTCAGAGAACGCGGTTAGAATAGAATTTACCCCATACCTAGATATCGTACGCGGTTGAAATGTTTTTTTTTTTTTGGCAGTGCCTTTCCCGCCGCTGCAAGAGATCAAAGCGCGAATTTACGAGTGAGATAAGCGCTCTCGTGTGTTACGGTTCGGAAAATTACGTTCGGGCTCGCTCGATGTATCCAGATCGACGCGACACACGTTCGCTAATTGGCGATCGGAGACGTCTCTCTAATAAGGACCGTCTGCACGATCGACGGGCTGCATTTGCACGCCGCGAAACTGGGTTGTGAGGCGGTATCGCTCGTCCTACGGTTTGTGGTCTACGCTTTAGCCTACGCCAGAGCTCGCTACGTCGCCGCTGCTGGACGATCGGGCGACGACAACGACGAGCGGCGAGAGACGCGAGCGCGGTTGCGCAAACCCGCATATTTAGGATTCATAGGCACTCGGGTATAGATCCGACCGATAACCCACGGCTTTGTAAATAGAAAGGATAAGGTTATCCAACGCTATGCTAATTCTCTGTACCGATCTCGCGAGAAGGGAGAAGGACGCGTCGTTACCTCGCGCGCGCGCACGAAGGATCGCGTCATTTATTATGTTAGAGGACCGTGCGCTTGACATGCTTGAGAGCTGTTTCGATAAATTAGCCTTGAACCGAGTTTTGATTAGACGAAGACCGGCAGCTCGTTCTTCAAACATTTTTTTCTAGCTCTAAACGGCACACTAACAAGTTCTCTCTCTTGCTTCCTTGAAGAGAAAACAATATGTGCAATGTAAAGTAGATTTTTGGATTATTACGCGCAAGTCGTGTTCCTCCAGTCAGGTCAAATGTCAAAGTAATAATGCGGCGCTTGTGTTTTTGCATTAGTGCTGTTAACGATTTCGAATGGATGTTTTCACGTAAAAAGAAAAACTGTCGTTGTTTTTGTCGCAGCATGATGCGAGCAAACGATAAGAAAACTGATTATTTTTCTGAGCAATATGATATGTATATATATATATATATATATGTGTGTGTGTGTGTGTGTGTATATACACGGAAAAAATAGAGATTAAAATCGACGTCACAGACTGTTATAAAAATTACTAGATCATTCAATTACATATGCAATTATCTAGATTTTTAAAGCAATTATCTGCCTTGTGTAATAATATTGATGTTGCGTCAACAGGGTATATTTCAATTAAATAAATATACACAGATGCCGTTGATTCAACATCATTTTTTTCTGTGCATGTATACACCATAATGCTTATGTATACATATACGATAATAAAGTAAATGTACGTCGTGTATATACATATATATGGTGTGTATGTGAATCTATGTACATATGTACATATACGTCTCGACCGAAATAGAAATGCGAAATATCAGATGTACATATACGTGCGCGTTGAGCGCGCTTCGTATAATCGAAAATTCTATTCCGTCGTTGATGATGTATCCGCGCAATAGATAGTCCACGTGCGAGTAGATCAAGGATACAGCTTTTTTATTCCGAATCCCCGGGGAGATCGGGGAAAAGAGAAACGCGGTGAATTTTTTTTGTTTTTTTTTTGTTTTTATCAAGGTAGATAATGCCCTTGATGATATATCACACACACGGTGTTAATTCGCAAAATAACCCGCGAATGGTCCGATCTAAAAATACACGCTCGACCTGAATATTTGAAATTAAAGGAAGATCACAATTTGCGATATCTCACATCCGAACGTGGTTTAAAACTGAGTTTTCAAAATATACACACATTTAGTAATACCGTTTGATCTTTCCCGGCGAATATAGCGTGAACCGATCAACAAGGATTTTGCGATTCACGCTTGACAAAGCTTGTTTGTGTAAAGCTCATGAAAATGATTATCGATTGCCCCAGAGAAAAGGGTGTTTCCGTAGAGACATACACTACCCCTCCCCTCCCCCCCTCACCCAAGTGCAATACTATACAGATACTGAAGTACTTTTTTGTTTTGAGATTTTTTTACTTTATTATATCGGCAATTACTACAAAGGGACGCGTGTTAACAATATTCGCGTGTGTTTTCTCGAACGGAAAAAAGGTCTCCCAAAATGGGTTTTTTTTGTATTTAACACGCGACGTTTGATCGCGAGATGCGTATGCGACGTAAACGCGGAGCGGCGGCTCGCGATATCCACCTAACGTGTGTATACATACAATGC